CTTTTCTTTTCATCAGAAACAATACGCCTTCATCCTCACTGAAACATTGCAGTTCTAAATAATCTTCACACGAGTTCTTCAAGAAAGCTCTTGCATCTCTGGCATTTTGTCTGGTTGTGAGTAGTATGTGGCTCGCTTAGGTGATTTACTATTTCTTTGCCAAGGTCCTTTGCATATCTTCTTAACACCTGTTGGGCACGTTGGGTCTTGTAACTCATCTACATTGTCTACAACAAGAAGCCATGGGAGCTCCTTATTCGACAACCACGTCAGGAAACGGGTCAATGTTTCATCCATATTGGCGCTCTTTGGAGTGAAAATATTCTTAAGAGCAAGAATCTCAGCAACTGATTTATGTATATTATCATCGCTTTCACCGTTGATCCAGAACACGCCTCCCGGGAATCGACTTTTGTTAATCCACGCGAATTCTACAGCCAGTGACGTCTTGCCACAGCCGCCAAGCCCGCATATCGTTTTTGTAGAACAGGAAGTTTTTGCATCACTTTGAACACTACTCTCCAGAACAAGATTCTTTTCAAGCCAACTCAGAGCTGTTGTGCGCCCAGTAAATGAAGGTAACCTACTTGGTGCGGTGCAAAATATGTCCTCGTCATTGCCCGTCTCTGCTTGAAAACCATTATCTTTGAAGCTATCCACCACTTCCTTTACATCCATGAAATCCTTCTGTAAGCCAGAAATCTTGGTTTCGGTTGTATTCATCTTGATGGTTACCTTTTGCACTGCACTTTTTACACTCGCACTCTCAGTGGAGAGGTAGGCCTCTACATCTCTTAACTGAGTTTCCAGCTCCTCCCTCAACTCGCGCATGTCTTCCCTGTTGAGGTCACCTTGTTCTTTTACTTCAGATAAGTCGCTCTGAATATCGACTTCAAGTTTCTCCGCTTGTGCTTTTAACGCACCAATGTCGTCTTTGTTCACACCAGCTATTTTTTCTACGTCAGACAAATCTTTCTGAGCTGCCATGTACAATTTCTTAGTCTCTGCATCTACTTGAGCAACTTTCGTCTGAACATCAGTTAAATCACCTTGGCATTTTGTCAGATCTGATGCAAGCGACTGACGTAGCAAATGAAGGGCCTCCATTTCAGAATTCCTGACATTGACCAGACCTTGATGGAATAAGTCTTGCAAGTGTTGCGAAGCCTTTTGGGCATCTTTGTCCGCATTAAACACTGGGTCACTCAACAAATTATTCAGATGCGAAAATATGGTTGGCACATCGACATCTTGAATCTCTTGCTTTGGAGAATGCGCCCAATGATTCCTACACTCATCTCTCGCTGCACATAGAACTGTTTTATTTACTGGGGGAGTGAGAAAAGGACACCATTCCATTAAGTTTAGGAGACCACCAATGTCCGTTGTTTCAGCGTCGACAACATCCATTTTCCTGGTTCCAAGAGTTGGCATGAAGAGTTTAGCTATTTCCCACGCCCCAGCCGGAGATCCCCATTGATTTTTGTCACTGTTGTTCCAGCATATCTTTGGTCGTGGTGCCATGTGATGACGTGACAATTCCGCTTCCCATGTAGTACAAGAAGCACATTTGGCAGCACGAGATGGACAAGTGCATGGTGAAAGAGATTGGAGCGGAGGGCTTGAAATGAGGTTTCGGTACCAGGCTTCCATTTCCTTTTGGATTTTTGGTGAAATTCCATTTTTGGCAATGTTCAGAGCGCATCCAACCAAAACCCAGTTTTTGTGTTCTTCCTTGTCAAGATCTGCCACCCAACCTCCGGTCGCCATTACCTTGTCTTCTAACCAAGGCTGAAAATCTAAGAAGGGCAGTTAACATGTAGAGTTCAGTTGAATATGAAACTCCTCTCTTTCTGCACTATAAATACATACTTTACGTCTTGCATATAACCAATGTTTAAAAATTCGTGTCCAAATATAAATTTCACACCGTTTCTTCATGTAAAAAATTCAAACAATCCCCCTTAGCATGTACACTCTTTGTAACTTTGACTACAAAGCTACGCAGCAGGAGAAAAAGTTTCAGTTTTTTTAACCCTTTAAGCCCCAATATCCAAATACAAATTCTCTAAACTGATCTCTATACGATTCCATAAAGAATAAGTTGAGAGAATTTGATAAAAGATCAAAGCATTTTCCCTTAGGTGATTATTTCATAAATTCTCACAACCTTTTCTCTTGATTGTGTTTTGATAATGTAAGGAGAAAATTGATGTTTGTCATTTCGAGTCATTTTTGGGACTTAAATATTCAACATTTGTAAACTTCCGTAATATTGATTGTTATTTTAATTTTCCGCCTGATAATATTTTGTATCCGTCGCCCTACTTTTTATGCCACCTTCGAAAAATTGTAATTGAGGAGGCCTAATTAACATAAGCTTTATAGTTTCCTTTAGGCCTCCTCGCTGTTTCTTCCTACATTTTTTTTGGCATCTTTTTGTGATTGTAATCGTATAGCAAATAAATATTAAATACAAATACAAGGGTGAATAGACATTTGTGCAAATGATTTAGTATTTAAACTCAACTTTTAAACTCAATGTTGTACTAGTTAACCAGTATTGAGATTAAATCCAGGTTTATCCTTGGTTAAAACAAAGAAAATAACCTTGGGAAAAGAACAGAGGAAATTTACTAGTTCTCTCCCTAAGGTATCAAAATATGCTAAACTCTTGAAAACTCTGAATAATTTCGTGATTATTAAGCGTGACTCTCTCTAAAGAATTTTGCTTCCAGAGCGTAGTTATTACACCGGATCATGAACAGCACTGTGTGTGCGACATACTTCACAAAGTATGGCCAAAACCGAAAAATGAGAGTCTTGATAACACAACAGCTGTTTACCGAGACCGGAGAAAAGTGAAATCTTAATCGATTAACAAATGCAAATTTAATATTTCAGCCTTGCCTTCCATTCCCCATCGAATGTTAAATCTTTTGGTTTTGAGGGTAAAACTCTTAGAAATTGTAGTAAATCTTAAAATCACTGTTTACTAAATGATTGTTCTTTTTTTCTTCACAAAAATCGACGAATTCAAGTGAAAAACATTCATTCGTCTGTGCCTATGTCACAGTACGCCCTGGCTCCAAAGAATAAACCAAACGTTTCCGCGAAGCAGTAACGCGGCTGCTTTAACTGCTCAGACGGACACATTATATTACCTATTTCGCGACATTTCGATATGTAGTTTAAAGTAGGATTTCTTATCTTAGGTCTTACCTTACTTGATCATAGACTTGTTGCACTTGGTGGAGATAATTCAGACTGAAATGATGGCTTCCCTTGCAGGAAATCAATAATTCTATCGAAATCGAAAACGGAAATGATAAAGCTGATTTAAGGTACACGCGTTGTTGACCAAGCGTGAAGCTGATATAGAAAGCTACTGGCCAAGTTTTATTTGCGTTTTGTTATTGAAATGCAGACGGTACAGAGCGAGCAATACCGAGAGGGAAGATGCAGTCAAAACTCTCTACGTAACAACATTGCGCTTCAAAAATCATCTTTCTATAAACAGCAATTAGAGCCCGGGTTAGAGACGAACGATGGGCAAACAATGTAATCCCTGTATGTTGCACAGGTTACAAGCTTTGTTTTGTAAAACTATTCAGTATATGTGAACTTCGGGTTTCTGTTGTATTGATATACCCGTATTTACTCGATTCAGTGTCAAGTTAACGCCATAGGTAAACACCATAGGTGGAGACAAAAATAAACGCAACCCGGTCTAGATTGAACTCCACACCCAAACAGAAGAATGCAGCGTTGAAATTTTCAGGTTTTGCATAGGTGGAGGATGGTAACACATGGAGGAGGTTTGATATAATAATGCAGGGGTCAGCTAGTCGTCAAGGGGAAGTTGGCCTGAGTGGTTTCAATTTCCGGGCAACAACTTCAGAACGAACTAGAACCACTACGTGGAACTTACCGGGGCCCAGTGGGACATAGGATTGCATAGATATAGCTTACCTCTCGCACCCCTCCCCCCTCCTCTGTGGAGGCTAATACTTATTAGTCTGAATTAACTCATGCAGAAGAAAAGCAACAAAATGCATGAGAAAGGAGGATGTAGTTGTAAGTTTGTTCAGTGTTATGACAGCTAACGGTCTGTGATATAGTAGTGTTTTTACACTGTGATGTCAATAAGTGTGATCTGTATAAGGTTTTTATTTGAGTTTGAGTGAAAGAGCAAAAATCACTGACAGTTTTGAGTTGAATGGTAATGACAAAGTTTGCAAAGAAGTTTGTTAGAGAATTATCACAATTTTGCCTTCACGGTCTGCATTACACTTCTCGTAGAACAAACATGCATGTTCATGGAGAGCCTGTAGTGTTGAAGAATCCCAGTAAGTGCATGATTTGATGACAGAGAAACAAACTGCATATATGGACATAATAAAATGCTTATTTATTGATGACTGAGTATCATTTGCTAATTCATTGCACATTGAAATGGAGGCATTTGATTGTTAGGCAGTGGTTGATACATAGTGGCATTCATCAATATGACCTATAGTAATTGTAGAGGAAGTATTTCTTTCCTGAACTGGGTAAACAGTAGTAAGTAATGCAAAGCCTTGATTAGATTTCTACTATTGTATAGTAGCATTTAATGCATCTGCCGTGCTTGAATGATAAGTGCATCAGCCCATGTAGCCATGAATTTTCGGTATTACTCTCAATAAATCTCTCTGGGTTGTCTCTCATAAATTGAACCCCAGCAGTACGTATATGCGTATGATGGTTGCTATTGCCATATAATTGATGTGATACAGATCTAAAGAAACAATCACCTGCACCGTCAACATCTATTGATTGTAAGCCAAGTTCACCTAATCTTGACTGCATCAAATTCTCAGAGGAAATAGGAGAGTTCAACTGCATTGTTGAACTGTGATTTTGCATAGAAGGTCTAATTATAACTTCATGATGATCAGTGTTGTATTGAGTAGGTCCTGGCATTCTTCTCAAAATCTTTACTTAGTTTGAAATTTACATAATTGGTCATATGACTCACACAATTGCAAGAAAACAAAGATAAATATCGACGTGCTTTACATTTTTTCATTATCCTGTGATAATGTCTGCTAAAGAAAGACAGCAAATAAGCTTTCTTGGGTATAGCCATTTTATTTAAGTTAATTATCTTTGGATCGCATTTGTTATTACATTTATATCGTGCATGATAAAGTTTTCTCACCTTATTAACATAGCGATGGAGCTTTGAAGACTTCGGTATGTCAATCGTTGAAATCTTTTTGAAGACAAATTTCTTCAACATGCTATTCTTCTCGTTGAGACCTCTTAGAAACGGCAGTGGAATACTGCTCGGTTCACGAGCACGTCTAGATCGCCTTGTAGCACGTTTAATTTTTTAAGATGATATAAAGTTAGCTTTGATAATTGTTCGCTTTGATTCTCGATAAATCAGGGGCACCCAGCGGCAATTTTCGGGAAAATATCTGTTCGGAAGACGATTTTAGATCTAGAATTTTCGGAGCTTTGGTGTAAAATTTCTTGCTTGCCTACCTCTCCTAGGATTTTCGAACATCTACAAAATGGTATAATTACCCATTTTTAACGGATTTTGACCCTAAAAAAAGGCCACCTAGAATTTTCGGGAGCCTTTTCCTGGCTGAAATTTTCGAGAAGGTAAGTTTTTATCCCTATAATTTTCGGATCACTAGACTTTCAGCTAGGAAATCCGAACAGATGAAAAGTTTTTAGGAAATAAAAATATGCCTATATCTACCGTTTGAATATTAAAATACGTTCAACAATGTTATGTTAAGTTGTTTTGAACTATATCCTCGTTGGGTGCCCTTGATGAATTTCACGATGGAAGGTTCACTCTTAAGTGATCGCTCGTAAATTTGTCTCTCCAAATATTCACTCTTAAAAAACTAGTGCATCGTAAAGGTTGGGGAACGTGTCCTTCCCCAAAAAGCTATAATCTTTCTCTTGACTGTCCTCCATGCCTCGTGCGTTTCAAAATGGCGGATAAGATTTCAATAAGCCAGCGATATATCCCAGTCAGCGATATATCCCTAACAATGTAACGTTGAAAAAACGACAGAAACCGTCTGCATTTTAAGACCGGTGCCAGCCTTCGGCTGGGCCCCGGTAAAAGCATTCTTCCATAGAGTAGTTGCATGTCTGCAGTCAAATGTCAGGGTAAGAATCTGTCACAGTACAGGAAGGTTTTTAAAAAAGAAACTCGGCTCGTTATTTCTACACTGACACATTAAGCGTTTTTCTCTTTTCGCAGCTGTTTTCTCTGAAAGGAGCTACCCTACGGCTTCTACAAGTTCAAAAGATAACATTCATCAAAAGTAAAAAAACTCAAAAACCTTTAATATAGCGCTGTGCAGTTTTCGGGAAAAAACGAAATTGTTCACGGCTACCTAGGGCCTCCTTGTTCTAGCCAATAATGTTCCTTGTTTTCTGTAACGTAAATGTAAATAATATCTACACATTTCTGAACTGCTTACTCTATTATGAAGGCTATTCAGTGAGAATCACTTTTATGTTAACAATGCTCCTTATTATTAGGCATTGCCGCCAGAATCAAGGAAAACGTTTGGCGGTGACCTCAGCTGGAAAGTGTTCCCAGCCAAATCCTTCTACGTACAAGAAGAAGCGTTGTAAATACAGCCTCAACACGTTTGTCTCCGATTATTTGGAAAAGATTTTGGAAACACCGACAACTTTTAGCTCGGATTGTTTGGAAACGATTCTTAATCATAACCTCTTATTAAAATCTTCTCAGTAAAATGAGCCAGATGATTCGGCGACTGTCTTTTTCCCCTCCTCGTTACATCACAGGTCACGTGGTCGGAGGCAATGACTAACTAAGCAGGTTTGATGGAGACAGGGGATGGGGGAGTTTCAGTTTGTCACACAAAAAACATTTCGAAGGATGGAAGCGTCAGGAAAATTAGCCTTCGATTACAAGGGGAATTATACGTTTCTCTTAGTAAATACTTAGCTAGTTAGCCGAAATAGATCTGTGTGGCGTTACGTTGGCCTACTAAGCAGCCCGTTTTTGGCTGTTTACCTGGCTAAATTGTTTTTACGACACGTAACTGTTTTACGTTCAATTCTCTGTTTTAGTTCAGGGGGTTAGTTCACCTTGCACTCGCTGTCGACGTTTGAGGCGTCATACCCCGAGGGCAAGGCCAAAGATATATATTCATCCTGACCAAAAAGACTTGTCGAACTCGCAGTCTCTAGTGATTCTGGCTCATCACCACAGTCTCCCTGAAGTTCAACATTCTCGACAAAATGTTCCTTTCTAAAGTGAAAAGGTGCACCAGTCTTGCACGAAACAATTACTTTCCCTAGACCAACAACAACGATTGCTGGATTGATCTCAACGCTCTTTTCAAATAGGTACTCTCCTTCTTTCATTAAAACAATTTGATTTACTCCTTCAGGCTCCTCTATTTCTTCAAGAACATTGCGCAATTCATCTGAACTTTCAACAACATTGATCTGCAACGCTCCATAACGTTGAATGACTGATGAAATATCCCGACCAGAGCTCAGGTGGTTAAACACAGCAGCAGAGGCCAAGGCTTCGTGTTTCCTCCCTAATTCTGTCATAATCGCAGCTCTGGTGGAGTAGCCAAGTAACCAAGAAGGGTCAGCTCTGATAGTGGATTTGGTGTCTTCCAGACCAAGCTGTAGTAAAGATTCCCGCTCACACTTGCTGCTCTTTTCTTTCGCTGCTTTCAAGTAAGTCGAAGCCCTTGCTGTAAGAAGCTGTGTGTTTTCTGGACATGAGGCCAATACCTTGCTATACAAAGACAACGCCTGGTCTAACTGTCCACGATCGAGGCACTTTTTAGCATCCTCTTTGTTAATTCTGATGAACTCCGCTGATGGTGTGAGTTCAATGTTGTCGATGTAAACAGTTTTATCCAGGAACAGTGGAACGCCTTTGGCGCAGGTGATTTCGACTTCACCAAGGCCAACTATCACTGCATTTGATGGCACCTTTAAAGCCTGAGTTATCCCATATTTTCCACTTCGAACGACAATTACGAGACTGTTTTTACTTATCTCTACGGCGCGCCAGAGATCTTCAGAAGTAGCTACTTCTTTTACAATGTAGCGTCCAAAATGCTCGACAACAGCAGGTATTTGGGTCCATCGCGTTGGAAACAGGCATTCAGCAACTGCAGCTGCAGCAAGTGATGGACCTCTTTTTCCAAGTTCAGCAAGACAAACAGCTTTCCAGTAGTATCCCTTCACCCAAGAAGGATCTGCAGATATCGCGCTTATAGAGTCTTGGAGAGCACGTTGAAGAATGTTCTGCTGCTCTTTTAAAGGTTTACTCTGTGCTTTCTGTTTAGAAAGCTTGACTTGCGCAACGACTCTGTTAGTTAACAACTTTGCATCTCCTTGATTCAGGTTTAAGGCTTTGTTATAGAACTCGAGTGACCTCGAATAGTCACCTAAACTGAAAAAACCGTTACCTGCATCTCTGTAACGATTCGATTGGTTCACATTCGAATCTGCACATGGTCCACTTTGGCACTGTTCAGAAAATCCCCGGCGATTAACAACAAATACCGGCAACTGACGACAAACAAATGCACCCTTTTCATCAGTTCCTAGGAGCGAATTCACTGTCGTTAAAAATGAATATGCCTCTAGCATATCTGGGAATTTGGAGCCATAATAAGTCATTCGAAGGGACACAAATATTTCACCGATTCGCAGGTACATAGCCAACCTTTCTGCAGGAAAGTCTGGGTCACTGCCCTCGCTTAAAGCTATGCCAAAGCTCCTCATTATGCTGAGCAGAGTAATAGCGACGACTTCTTCGCTTCCGTCATCTACATAAGGAATACAGTTATTTACAAAGCCATCTTTTACACAACTATATATATGGGGCCATCTGTTTTCTAAATTCTCTAGTGAACCTGCTTCCATGGCTATGTGGTTTGATTGACACATAAAACTAGAAAACTTCCTTAGTCCCATCACCACGTCGTCAGACGAAGGAGGTAGCTTCATATAAATATCTCGCATTTCTTTGGCATACATTTTAGCTTCCTTAAATTTGCCGTTGTTGGAGAGCGTGACGTTGGCCATCTCAAGTAGAAGCAGCAACTTTGGGTCATCCCCAGGGTAAACTCTTCTTGCAATCTCTAAAGCTTTCATTACGCGTTTAAACGCTAATTCAGAGCTATTGCCTTTCTGGTATTCTAACTCCGCGATTTTCATTTGAAGAACCGCAGTAATAGGTTCGCTTATTGGCAAGTCCAAACTTTCAAGCTCCAACAAAGCATTGTAGAATTTTTCCACCCCTTCTTCATAAAAGAGGAACTTCGCTTTTTGATAGCGAACACGGAATTTGACATCAGCCTCTATAACCACTCCAGATTTTTGAAATTCAAACATTTTTTGCATGGCATTATCAATTAAATTCTTTCCTTCGTGTTTCCCTTTAGAAGCGACGCTCTTCTCTTTGATGATACTTGCGTCGACCATCTCAGAGAGAAGCCAGTTCGGATCACTGTCACCGTACACCACTTTAAAAAGTGTTAAGTAAAAGTCTGTTAGTTCACTACTAAGCCAAAAAAGTGAATTTCTGTTTTTAGCGAGGTGGTATACAAATTTGCAAAACTCAAAGGTGTCGACTCCAAAGAGTTCACGGTTGTTATTCTCTCTCGGCGCGTTTATTTCCTCTTCCATATACCTCGTCAACTTGAGAAAATTTAGCAAAAGAGAGAAAACAGTACGTTGGTCTCCTACGTCCAGTTCGTAGAGGTTGCCTAACTTAAAATTCTCGAATGTAGGAAATTGTAAAAACGCAAAACGAAGAACGCGAACGCACTCCACCAGTGTCTTTATCCTTTCTGATTTCGTAAGGCTTTCTCTGACTACTTCTTGAACAAGCTTGTGGACACGGAACATTTTACATTGGTGGTTTACTGTGAAAAGAGAGTAGCTTGATAGTATCTTCAGGATGTCACCAATATCTGAATAAGAAAACGAACTTTCTCTCAGTTCCTCCTGATTGAATTCAGTAGATCCACGGTTGATGACATTGAAAGGAATAAATTCAGATTCAAAAAAAGCAGAAATACGCATAATCTTTGCAGCGGCAGGTGACCTTTCTTTGACATATTCGAAGTTCATCATCCAGGTTGTGTGAGTTGACAACCTGTGTTGTGCTTCCAGACTTAAAGCCGTGGCATGTTGCTGCTTTAAAAGACGAAACTTAACTTCTTTATATCTGTTAAGGTAATCTTTAAAATTAAGTGGAAGAGGGCTGGAAGATATGTACGCTGCGGCTTGTTCGAGGGCTAGTGGCAGGAATCCCAGTTCTTTCGCTAAACAAATAGCATCTGGGTCAAGATCGTTCCCTACGAGACCTGTCCGTTGCATTAGAAATAATGCACCTTCTTCTTCACTGAAGCACTGTAACATCAAACAATCATCATTTGAAATCTTCAAAAACGTTTTACTCTCTGTTGCATTTGCCCTGGTAGTAACAAGTATGTGACCATGCTTTCTTGGGAGGTGCGTTCTTTGCAACATCCCTTTGCATATCTTCTTAACGCCTGCTGGACAGGTTGGATCATTTAATTCGTCGGCATTGTCTACCACAAGAAGCCATGGACGTTTCATTTTGGACAACCATGACAGGAACTTGTTCAAGATGTCTTCTATGTTGTCGGTCACTGAGGCGCTGATATTGACAAACGTAAGTATTTCGACCACGGATTTCCGTAGATTTTCATTACTTTCACCGTTGACCCAAAACACGCCCCCTGGGAAGCGATACTTGTAACGCCAAGCAAATTCTATAGCTAGCGAGGTTTTTCCACATCCTCCAAGGCCGCATATTGTTTTAATACAAGATGAGGTTCCGGGTTTCTTTTCAGGGTTCAGCGAAAGAAGGTTTCTTTCAAGCCATTGTAGTTCTGCTTTGCGGCCGGTAAAATCTGTTAACCCAATCGGTGCTGTGTAAAGAATATCATCATCGTCGTCGCCATCATCATCTCCCTTGTGTGGACCAACGTGGGCTTTGTGTTTCAATGTTTCTACTTCTTCTTTAATCTCCATGACATCTTCTTGTAATCTTGAGATCGAGCTTTTGTTTGTAGAAACGTTCTTGGCTACTTTGTGTACTTCCCAATACAAGTTTTTGAGGTTGGTTTCTAACTGGGGCAAGATCAGTCCCACTGCATTTAGTTCCATAACAACCTTCTGTATACCATTCGACAATTCATCTAAGTCATCACAAATAACCTCAATGGTGTTTCTGAGATCATCTCTTTGGTTTAGGGACTTGTTGAAGGCAGCAACGTCAACCAATATCATGGATACATTTTCAGACAAGTTTTTTGATTCTTCTTCCATTTGCTGCCTTAGGGTAGTGATCTCAGACTTGTTCACATTACTTTGTTCTTGGACCTGAGATAAATGTCGAAGTGTATATGCTAAGTCTTCTTGGCACTTTCTCAGATCGGCCTCTAGGCATTGTCGCAATACGTGAAGAGCTTCAACCTCAGACTCTCTGACGTTAATCAGACCTTGACGGGACAAATCTTGCAAATCATTGGATGCTTTTTGGGCTGATAGTTCAGAGTTAAACACTGGGTCACTAAGCAGATTATTGAGATGTCTCAATATAGTTGGAACATCGGCATCACAAATTTCTTGTTTTGCTGCATGCGCCCAACGATTTCTGCATTCATCTCTTGCTGAATTCAAAAGAGTTCGACTTACAGGGGGGTTGATAAAAGTACACCATTCTAACAAATTCAAAAGACCACCGATGTCGGTTCCATCTGCGTCGATAACATCCTTTGCTCGGCTTCCAAGAGTTGGCATATAAACTTTAGCTATCTCCCACTCCCCAGTCGGAGATCCCCACTGTGTTCGGTCACTGTTGTCCCAGCAAATCTTTGGTCTCCCGGACTTGTGGTGACGTTTCAGTTCCTTTTCCCAGGTGACGCAAGTAGCGCACTTTGGTGCTGAAGGTGCGCATGCGCAAGGGGGAAGTGACTGAAGCGGTGGACTGGAAATAATGGACTGGTACCAAGTTTCCATTTTGTTTTGAATTGTTGGTACTATTCCTTTTTTGGCAATGTTAAGAGCACAACCAACCATCACCCAGTTTTTGTGTTCTTTCTTATCAAGCTCTGCTACCCAACCGCCAGATGCCATTATGATGCGGATTTCAAGGTAAACGGAGAAACAGTACGTCTTAGAACTAAATGGAAAAGCCGGCGCTACAGTTGAGGCTATGTGTCTAATTCTTTGTACCTTGTTAATTACAGATATGACCCTTTCCAGGCCCTTTGTGGCATTTCCTACCCAAGGATCTGCAACGAAAAGACCAACAAATCTTAACACATGAATAGTTACCTTAAATGCCATAACAAGACTATGTTAAGGAAGACACTGTTAAAAGATAAAGTGAACAAAAAACTACCCATTAAAGCGATTTACGGAAGGTGGCGGCACACCGTTTACCAGGTTTGAATTCATGAACAGTGAAAACCCGCGCATAAGAACCTAGTGGATTAGAAACATCCTGGCAAACTTTGTCACTGTAATACTAAAAAACACAAGAACCTGTTTAGCTAAGCAAGATCAAGCAGGTTCTTATATGTGGGTTACAGTTAAATTATGAAAAACAACTTAACCAACTCCAAGGAGTTTAACCTTGACATTGTAAATTTAAGTATAATTACAAGAACATACTGTACCAAACTTCTATTACAAATATAAGTACTAATCCCTACAACAATAACAAGTTTATATAAATTACAGACTGTAATTATTGTTTACAGACGTTTAAGATTTTGAGTTGTGCAACTCAAAATCTTAAACGTCGATAAAACGGCTTCCAAATGGCTCTAGAGGTGAACAGACAGTAAGACAAAACACAAACACAAGGTTAGTCATTTTCATTTTTGTCCAAAATTGGAATTTAAGACGTATTTTGTCAAGAGATCATAACAGTACTCTTGATTTTGTTTATTTTCATACATTCTCCTGTGAATTCAAAGTCCAACGAATTCCCACAGAGTTTGGGCGGCCTGTGGCAAAACGAGGCTTGCAAAGTACTGTAGGTATTTTTGCAGTTTAACAGTCTAAAACGTTTGCTCATACTGCACATTTAAGGACCAAACCCAATTTTATTTATCTTTCTGGTAATCAACAATTATCGCCTTCATAGGAGTTAAGAACCAACTTAAGAACCTGCTTTGCCTAAATTGCCAACAAGTACCCCATAATACAAGAACCTATTTTGCCAGACTTCTAAAACAAGTAGCTTCTAGGACAGGGAAACCTGGGTCTGTCTTCTTCTGCTCCTGGGTGGGGTAATGATCAACCATGAGTTTGAGGTTGTATTTAGGATAGGCAGACTGAGGTCTCTCCTTTTCTCCTCTGGGGTGGGGCAATAAATTGATTGATTGATTGATTGATTCACTTTCATTTGAATACAGTAATTTCATAAGTTACATAACTTCTTTACATGAAAGCCGTATAGAAACAGAAGTAAATACTGTACAACTACACTAAAAATATGGACAAATAATAAAATATAGTAAAATGTAGTCAACAGTTTGCCTGCCTACTAGCCAGTTTTCTTTTTAAGATAGCTTTAGATTCGGACGCTTTTATCTCATTTGGTAATGAATTGCACAGCATTCCTCCTGTGTATGAGAAAGACCCTTTATATTATTCTGTTTTTGGAACGTGGTCCAGTACAACATTATATTCCGTATTTCTTAGCATAGACTTATAAGGGCTGTTCTCACAGACATTCGAGAAAAGATCGCTTAAGTAACTAGGTACATTTCCATTCACTGTATCATACATTAATAGACTTAAGTGCCTTTTTACTCTAAGAATGAGGCTGGATTTAAAATAGAGGTGTCTAGGGTTTCTCTTCCTCATCTCTAGGGTGGGGTAATGATGGACCATAAGTATGAGGCTGTATTTAAGATAGGTAGACTAGGGTTGTTCCTTTTCTCCTCTGGTGGGGGGGAGGGGGGGGGAGTGAAAGAATGACTCTAAAAATGAGGCTGGATTAAGGATAGTGGGTGTCCAGGGTCTCTCCATCTCACCTCTGGGGTGGAGTAATGAAAAACCCAGATAATCACGCTGCATTGAGGAGATGGAGCCCTGGGCCTCTCAGAGGCTGTATGAAGAATGGGGAGTCCGGGGTGTCTCCCTTTCCCCCCTGGGGTGGGGTAATGAAAGACCCTCGGCTAGGAATGAGGCTGTATTTAGGATAGTGATTTTTGGATCTCTCTCCTTCAAATCTGGGATGAGGTAGTATAACACCATGAAAATGATGCTGCATTTAGGATAAGGGTCTGGGTCTGCTATCTTCCCCTCTGTGGTGAGGTAATGATAAACTCCAAGAATTAGGGTGGAGTATCAGGGTCTCTCCTACTCCCCTTTGGGGTGGAGTAATGTAAGACCCTGTGAATCAGTTGTCCTCATGGACTGGTGTTTTATGCTGAACTTAAATTTTTAATAAATTATACAAGCAATGAAAGTTGTCAATGAAGGGGAGTCAGATTAACATAAACAGCGATATTAAGTTCACAGATTCTCAATGTACATGTAATGAGTCCATTAACATAGTCAACTTGATGTCACATAGACCTTTGTCACATGGTGGCTATTTTGTCTCAGGAGATTTAAAAAGCTTCGTTTCTAGCTAGCCTCATTCTCTCTATGAGGCTAGCTGTGCATAAACAAAGCTTTTGAGGTCCATTGCTCATTATATACTCAAGCTTGGGGAGAACATTAGCCCTACCTGACATACTTTACAGTATAAAGAATCAAGAGAAAAGCAGTGTACTGTAATTTTTTCTAGCATACAGGAGAAAACAGCATTAACTAAAAACTGCATTTTAGGAAAGACCTCCCCCTCAGCCTGCCCTTGCCTGCTCTCATAATGCAGTGGGTACAACAAAATCATTAATATTGATGGCAATTGGATGCTTGGGGCAGGTTTTTCATGTTTTGATAGAAAGGTATTGACACTCAAAAACTCAATAAAGACTTTTCTCTTTCCTTCCCTATGTTCTTTTCTGTTTTTGTGTCTGTATAAAATTTGATCTGATTTATAATAAAAAGTCTATGTTGCATCAGAACATTATTAAATCATTGAAATGAAACACCATTTGTCTAAAAGGAAAAAACACTTTTCTTAGTAACACAGACTATTCTCATTCTAGAGTGCAAATTGACTTGATCTGCTCCAAGCTTAAAGCAATCTGTATCAATCTTAAAGCAAGACTGTGGGTAACAGTTCAGAAAGAAGCATTGAGATTATGAAAGCAGTGGTAACAGCCAGCAAGAACAGCAGGTGACATGCATATGGGACAGACTTCAAGTAACAAAAAAAAAAACAATAATTTTTGCTCAAGTGAAAACCCCTCAAAAAACAAACAAACAAACAAGGGTTCTGCCTCTTCCCTTCTGGGGTGGAACAGACAGGTACTAAATTTAAACCTGCTGTGATTTGGATGGGTGAGTGGATAGGTTCTTGGTCCTCATTATCAGTGATCGCAATTGCTTGTGCTCCAGGGTCATTTGGATGATGAACCTGGTCTTCCACAAGTGCTTGTATCAGTAACAGAGCTACAATAATGTATCAGTCAATCTTTGGTGAGCCCACCCCTCCTAACATCCCCCCCCACCCGGTGAACCTCCAGGCATTGCATAAGCATTCCTTTGCTGTGGATGGAAAAATCTCGGGGGCTGGGACACTTGAGCTGAAATGCCCCGCCGCAGAGAAGAAGAAAGAGGGCAAATGCCCCATCCACCGTCAACACTGCAGCAATTTTCATTGATCATACAGTCAAGTAGTGGATTTAGTCAGTGTTATTTTGGTTAGTATCTCCCTTGGATAGCGCCATTCTAATTAAGACTTCATGAGCGATGATACCACTTCATGATTCTTATTTATGTACTTTTACGATATCTGTTCCAAATAGTCAAAATATTATGAAAAAGTAAATATAATACATAGATCAATGATAGTAAAATTAGAAATATCATCACCGCTAACTTATAGTCAAATCGTACATCAACAGAAATTTTGTTCCATAAAAAAAAAATTCAACTCAGGACAATAGCTCCTGACTTCTGGCTTGATTAAGCAGTGAAGAAATGCAGGCATAAAATCAAGACAGATAAGTCAATCTGCAAATCTGCTGGGGTTTCCAGTAAAATCCTCCACGTTTAGTTATGTTTAAAAAGGAATGCATGTGCATACCAAAAGCTCAGGGGTGGCTCAGAGGTTGGCAAATGCCCAACCTCTGAGCCGCGCATAATTTGCTAATTCCCCACCCCCAGGACTAACAATGCGTGCAATTAATACCCGACAGTTGCCCAGGAGTGCATGGGCACACCTGGAATTGACTAATGCATAATAAATAACTGGACCAAGAGACCTTGGAAGACAGTGGAAAATAAATGATCACTGCCATAGGTTGTCTGCAAATTCACAAAAATGTATTTCATTCCTATTAAGAATATTACAACCAGAAACTAACACATTTCAGTGTGCAATATTACCGCTCTAAACTAGTTATAGCTATCACTAAGTGCCATCAAACAAAGATTTTACCTACACATCTATGCTGTTGAATTTGTTTACAACTCAAAAGTAGGTTGAATTTGATTGTCTGGGTGAACGTAGTCCTGAATAGGACTGTTGTTGTTGACAGTGACTGACGTTTTGACAACCTGTGCAGTAGTCATCTTCAGAGTCAAACTGAGTTGTATCACGTCAGTTGATGGTATTATACTCTGGTTATTGATCTGATTGGTCAATTACGTCGCGATGTTATTGGTCGTCTGTCAGTTAAGCCGTGATGTTATTGGCTATGAAGACTCGTAATCAGTAATTGGTGCGTTTCGATCCATCTATTGTCACAGTTAAACAGTTGTCTATTGTTAGTCAAATTGTCATTCTCTCGTAGTTAGTTTTGCTTGACCTCATCACTGAGTCGTTTGTACGGCGCTGGTAACTGTTGGCTACGATTCAGTGGCGTTTGTTCTAAGTTAGTAAACCAGCTTTCTAAAGAAGTTGATAGTAGTCTGTAGAATACATTATACATGTCGCAGAGTCCCAGTCAATTTGATGTTTCGTCTTTAAATGGTGCTCAGCAAGGTGATTGTTGACGTCACCATTCTTCATCGCTCATTTGTGTTCGGTCAGTCGCGTGCTTAGGTTCCTGCCAGTTTCACCAATGTAAGAAGCCTGGCAGTCGCAGCATTTGATCTTGTATACTGCTCCCTGTCTGTCCTTTGGTTCGTCTTTGTCCTTGACATTAGTATAACTCAACCTCCTTTTGAAATGACTCCTGGGTTCAAACCTTTCACAGTTTTATTGTTTAGAACTGTCATGAAACACAGTAACTGATGAATTAATTATAGAGTGAGCTTAATTCAATTGCATTGAAAATAGTGCAAATTTAAAGCAAGGATTTTAACTCTGAGTACAATAATTTACTTAAAAAGGCAGGAACTACAAACCTTAAGGACAAGTGTTTACAAAACATGATTTTTACTATTTTTAAATGTCTTCATTTTTCTGATTATCCAAGATATCCAAAAGATATGTTTCGCTCTAGCACCTATTTTTTAAGAGGACATAATATGCTCTGCTTGCCTAAATCATTGACCACTTCTAATGGTATCAATTCCTTTAGTTACTTGGCAGCAACATCTTGGAATTCTCTTCTTGACCATCACCGCACTATTTCTGATTTTACTTCTTTTCGATAACTGATATCTACTGGGAAAAATAATTTACTTAAAAGGGCAGGAACTGCAAACCTTTCTACGTCATGATAATTTGCAAGTTAGTTGTCTAGGTAGTTAGTTATCTTATTTGTTATATACAATTAACTTTTTATTATAATTATTTATTTATGTAGTTGGCTCGAAGATATTAGCACTTGAGTGCTACACTATAAATTCGAGGGTAAATAAAGTTTATTGATTGATTGATTGAAGGTGCACCAAAACACCAACCCACGGCCGAGCCAGTACCTCACACATGCGCAGAGCCATACCACGTGGGCAGTGGCAACCACAGACAGCTGTTTCGCCAGTAGTGGGGCCCACCAGCATGGCACAGTCATTGGGTTAATGAACGGGATAAACCCGCGTCTCAAAAACTCCTAGCTGCCGAAGTCAGTGCAAAGCAGTCTATCAAGCACCAGCTCCACACAACACATGTGGGAGCTGCTGGCTGGCAACCACACAGCAGTTCTATCACGACATGTGCGGGAAAGGTGGATCACGAGTTACCACTGAAGTAAAGCAAGGGGCACACATACACCAACCCACAGCCTGGCCATTACCTCCCGCATGCGCACAGCCATATCACGTGGGCAGTGGCAGCCACGGACACCTGTTTTCTTCCAGCTGTTTGGGGCTCATCAGCATGGCATAGCCATCAGTCAGTGACCGGGGAAAACCCGTGTATAAAAGACCCTTTCCTCCCGAGGCGAGTCCTTTAAGTGCCAGCTCCACACAACACATGTGGGAGCTGTTGGCTAGGAACTGCACGGCAGTTCTCCCACAACATGCGCAGGGAAGGCGGATCATGGGTTTGGTGTATGTGTGCTCCTTGCTTTAATTTGTCTAAACTGTTCTATTGCACGAAGAATTTGAAATCCCGACTTTACACAGCTAATTTTTCGCGATATTGAGGTTCGTGTTTTTGTCCAAAGTTGCACACGTCATTTTGCATAAAATTTAGTGGTCTTATAAGCACACTTAAAATCCTCGAAAACTCACATTAAAGTCCGCAAAATTAATATTCAACGCACAGAGCTATACTTGGTCTCTTTTAAAAGCTAAAACAATTTATGGTGCGCCAATGAAGCCTTCTGAATTATTTTGCTTCAAAGACACAAAAAATGCGCTGGGTTATTATTTTTCTTATCGGCATGCAATAAAAAATTCCAGGCGGCAAATGTGACAGATATGACATAGGATGGAAGTGATCCACCCAACGATTGGTTGAAGACGGCATAAGCACGGGACTCACAAACACACACATGGCTCGTGGATTCGCTGATCTGTATTACGTGTTCTCTCGAAAACAATGCATTCTCTGTTCTGCGTTACGTCATGGTTGCCTTACATTACCCTATGTTATGTCAATTCAAGATTTTTTCTGCCCCTGGAACAATCGCGCACGGGCTCTATTAGGCTGCCGCCTCGCAGCCTCGTGTCTTTGTAAGGAGCCCGCTCATTGGCAATAAAAAAGTTTCCATCTAAAAGTTTTATTCTGGCATAGAATTAACAGACAGAAATTATGGCAGTGATTCCAGGGAAAACCAATAAATTTTAGTACTACAGATTTATACTGTGTGATTTTTGCCCTAATTAGTAAATGTTTAATTTCAAAGTAGAAAGGGATACAAATACCCGTATTCTCTCAGTGCAAGCCTGTGGGATTTCAGAACAAGCCCTGGGAGGCACAGACGGACCAAGAAAGGGTATCTTGCAGAAAAAAACGCGATAACTTAAGGCGGCAGAAGAAACATTTTTTCAGCTAAGGGGTCAATTTAATAAAACTTTCACAAGTGTAATTTACAAGTAGAGCTATTGATTTCAGACTCTTGTAAAGTACACTTGTAATAGTTTTATTAAATGGACCCCTGAAATCACTTAATGTGCCGGCCTTCATTGAGGCATTTAAAAATGCTTCCAAAGGCTAACATTTGAGCTTATCCATTACACCCCTGCTAATCAGTTGGATTTCTACAGAATGGAAACCGAAAGTGCGGGCGTCTGCTGCCATGATCATCATCAGTCACTCGAAATTCTACGTGGATTTCGGAGTAGAAATGTTCAATAAAGTAATACTTACGTATTTCACTCCTCTCAGTAGTTGTGGGAACAGTTTGACGCTGTTAAAAAGTAGTAATGTCGACTGCAAATTTATCAAAACCAAGGTTTAGGTGCTTATCTGTAGGTGAAAGTGTAATTGGTATCCACCCCTTTTGTCACGATGTTGGTGAACTGATTTTTTGGGGAGTCTGGGGTCCAGTTGCATAAACAAAACCAATAGTGCAAGAGCCTATTTCCCATCCTTCTGAATCAAAACTCTTAAAGACAGGATGGATCGAAATTTTACTCTGTTTATCAAGTAACTAGCATCAGGTTCCCACACGCAGACGACGCGCAGATAGTCTATCATTCTCGACTCATCCTCGGAGATCCAGGGGCAGTCAGTCTGGCCAGGAGAAAAAACCGCGACAAACGTTTTTAGTCTTTTCAAGCATGGGCGGAAGGGTCTTCCGCCCGTGATTGAAAACTTTCGTCGCGCCTTTTCTCCCGGCCCGACTGGGTCTCCGAGGATGGACTCGACAAGGCTTAAAGAACGTCTGCATGGGACGCTTCGAAGTGACTGACAAGCAGCGAGATTTAAAAGTAGAGCTGACATTGCTTACAAGTGTTCCTGGGAGCCCATTCGTTTTTCGTATCGCGGGGGAAAGGGGTACTCCCTATAATGGCCTACACGGGGAGGCTCCACCCGAAAAGGGTTCGTTTTTCAGCCCAAGGTGTACAAGGGTGGGAGTTTACTCGTTTAAGTCTAGGCTTAGCCTGCGTAGCAGGTGTCGAAGCATAGGTAGGGTGTAGGGAGGAAGGAAAAAAGGGAGGGGGAGTTGGTTAGGGTTAAAGCCGCCTAAATCCTAACCATCCCCCCTCTTTCTCCCCTTTTTGCGCCTGCCACCAAGGCTAGAAAGGATAAGGAAATCGAAAAACTCTGTGTAAGGATCGCTTGGACAAACAGCAGCGAGGGAAAGCCGGATTTTGGTGTAGATCAATATTCACAATATAAAAATAACATATAAAATTGAAGGCACCTTATCGCCTGGCTTTCAATTGTAAAGAAATCTGGAATTTCGGTCTGTAAACAAGGCCAAAAAGGGCTTACAGATGCATTTTATGGCTGTGAAATTGTCGAGGAACTTTCTAGTTTTGTGGTTTGACCTCCATATTTTAAAGACAGTAATTCACAGCAGCTAGAAGGGAATTTCAAATGAGGTATGTGAAAGGGGTACCATTCGCCAACTCGAGCCGGAGCCTCCCCTTATAAAACATCTCTAAGTACCCCCCGCCGCCCCGCCCCGTATATTACCCTATAGCAGCATTTCTTTTGGCCCGCGATCAAGCGTTTTTTTTAGAAGAGAATAATAATAATAACCAGGAGGCCCTGTAATTACATTATACAGACATAGGGAAGACATGATTGTAGAATATACTAACCATTCTAAAGTGAAGCCCACAGGGGCACAAGTAGATACCCTAAAGGCATTACCGCAACTTCCGCTTTTAAAGAGATAGCTGGCATAAATTACTTCGGATAAATATCTTGTTTGAAATTTTCAAAACCAGAAATCCTACCGAAGGCTTAGACTGAGGGTTAAACTCTCCCAGTAAAAGGAAAGAGAATAAAAAAGAATAACCTTCGTACATGTTGAAGTCTTCAAGATAAAATTTACACCCTTAAATGAAAGTAAAAACTCTCCCAGTATAAGAAAAAGCCGAAAAAAAGATCTTGAAAAAGATTTTCCCACGGTAAAGTCTTTAGATAATATTTCTATTCAAAAATGACGGAAAATTCCCTTCCAGTAGAAGGCCTGCAGAAATTGTTCCAATGATTCATTTTTTTATTCAGTTAGAGCAGAGCTCTGACCATGGTATGTGTACGCAATGTAAGTCGCCTACAGTGTTATTCACTTCAAAATGAGAATTTTAGTCAAAGAATCATGTACTATTGCTGATTATCATGCTAAAAACAACGGAATGTATATGAGACTTTCAAGAATACATCATGGATGATAGGCTCTTGGTTATAGAAATATATCTCCTTACCTTCTACAATGGAGGCCAAAAGAATTCGTGTGAAAATCGGTGAAAAAACCCTTCTAAGTAATTGTTACATACAACTCTGCCCCACATGACAATTTTTTTATCAGCTTTGGGTTCAGCAATGATGTGGCCAAAAGAGAACTTATTTTCAGGCATGGTGCTCAAAATTCAACTTTAAAAACTTGGGGTAGGAGGAGAAGTGTCGCCAGTTTTACTAATATCACTGGAAAGGTTCCAACACTTTTGACCACCATTGTAGATCTTATGGACTGATCCTGCAAAATCAAAAATTACGATGCTACAATCAACCGGCAGATCCAGTATTTTTCTTAGGAGGTGGTGCATCACATAAGGAACTACTATTTTTACGGCGTTTGACATAAACTCTTCAACGTCGTCTCATGTTTTACTCAACACCAAGTATACCAATTGTATTAGAAAGCCGCGAGTCATCTCGGGGGGTGAGCACCCCCTACACCCTCCCCCTAGATCCGCCCCTGTAACGGTATAAGAAGACTTCATTACGGGTTAACATGCCCCGGACTATTGCTTTCGCGATCAATTTAGCCCTCTCACTCTTTATCTCGCCCCGTTGTCCTAGCTAGAATTGCAGCGAAACGACTCTACAGCAACGGACCTAGAATATATATATAAAAAATGTGATCCTTCTTGAATCGTGTCAAAACTCTCTTCTACATTAAGAAAATTCCAACAATTTTCTCTCTTCTAATTCTAGCAACACGCGGATTTAAAATATATTTTATGTTCTAAACAAATGAAGCATGACACCGAATTGATTTGTTTCTTTTGAGCCAAATAGTCAGAGAGATATTTCAACCAAAATGAACGTTTTACTATAAAGCACCGTACAATCGAACGCAACATTGTTGGCTAACAACTCCCAACATTGTTGGATGTTACATGTTGCGTCCGTTTCCGCACCCTGTTGTATATTGTTGCGTGTTGTTGGGAGTTGTTGCTCAAAGTTTGAAACCAGTCAAAGTTTTGAGCCAACAACTCCCAACATTTCCTTTGTTCCGTGATCGCCGAAGCGTAACGCAACAATGTTGCATCCGGTTGCCGCAGCTCTTCCAACATTGTTGGGGCCACGCACGCGCATTACACATGGTTTGCAAAGTCTTATGGGTTGTATCCTTCCCACGATGCACCGCAGGTCCTAACTTTATTGGGAGTTGTTACATCCGTTTGCACACTACTGACAACACGGACGCAACAACTTCCAACATTGTTGGTTTAGCACGAAGCTTAAAAGACAAAACTGACTAGTTGAAAAGGTAAAGGTCGTTAAGGATGTCTTTACTCTGGCTCCAAATGTCCCTTGTTCGAATAATTAGTTAAAATAAAACCATAAAACCGCGTCTATTGTTTTAAAGTCCCCTAGGTATTTTTTCTTCGACAAGTTGTGCTTTGTTTTCGCCTCTTTGCCGCTAAACAGAGCTTTGTTCAGCATCTTTCTTAGTTCAAAAGTTAACATTAAGCAAATGTCAAAGGCTCAAACCTTCAATACAACGCTGTTCAATTTTCGGCAAAAAACCTGACAATTTTGTTCTAGTTGCGGAAGCTAAGAACTTCTTGCTCTTGCTTCTGTTATATACTTCAAACATGCCGTCGAGAATATTTGGAGGCCTATCGGAATTTTTTTGTCAGGCGTCAAAATCCTTTGTTTCATTACAGCTGTCCTTCGTCGGCTCATCTTATTTCGCAAACCTGACCAATTAAAATTCCTTTAACTGACGTTTCTGGTTACACGGAAAATTTCACTTTTCTGAGATGCGAACAAGGTTGTAAAAACGAGAAATTAGGGAGCTAAAAGCAATGGCGTTTTTGAGCGACGTACGTCAACCGGAAGTGAGGTCTTTTTCAGTTTAAAGCACCTTGAAGTTACCAAATTTTTAGGTGTCTTTACTCACGGCTGTGGAGACGATTTGTCTAAAAAGTTGGGCAAAACCACCGTCCAAAAATGAAAAAACGACCACCTCCGGTTGACGTTCGTCGCTCAAAAACGCTTACGCTCACTAATATATTGGTGCGAACAGGCCCTTAGTAATCCGTTTTCTAAGAAATAACGATAATCCTCAAACAAATCGTACCCAGGGCTTTCCCCTTAGAAAATGGGAAGGAAAGCCCTGCAGAGGAGTATTGATTATTCTTCTGTGACTTAATATAATCCAGAAAAGAACTTGGGTTGGCGGTAACCGCAGCTGGAAACCAGTGCTAGTCAACTTAATCCTCCGACGGTTAAGGGGACTAAGCTTAATCCTCCAACAATATTTTCTCCTACTGAACCAGCTCCTCCTCTCAGTAAACTGGATGTTTCCACTGCTTTTTCTCCTTCCCTGATCCACTGACGGTTATGTGGTCTGTGGCAGTGACTAAAGTAATTTTGATCGGAGGTGGAGGGATGGGGGAGTTTCAGTTTGCCGCCTGAATTACATCAGGAAAATACGGTCCGACGGGTGGAAGCGTTTCAGCAATTTCAGTGTATGGGAAAAGAAACTGTTTCAATGTCAGTAGACTAGCCCGTTAGCGAAATACATCTGTCTGATATCCTACAGCCGTGATGAACTTTCCATCTGCCTCGCTGCATGCTGTGTCATTATCTTTGCGTGCAACTCTGGTTTTTAGTTCCTGTTAGTTCACCTTGCACTCGCTGTTGGCGCTGGAGGTGTCATACCCTAAGGGTGGGTCCAAAGATATAACTTCTTCCTGATCAGAGTCATCTGTTGAACTTGTAATTGTTTGTGATTGTAGAGTGTCACCACAGCCTCTTTGAAGTTCCACATTTTCGACGTAGTGTTCCTTTCTAAAGTCAAAAGGTACTCCAGTCTTGCACAAAACAGTTACTTTCCCTAAACCAACAATAACCATTGCCGGTTTCATCTCCACGGTCGTCTCCAAAAGGTAATCCCCTTCTTTTAACAGAACAATTTGATTTACTTCCTCACGCTCCGTGATTTCTTGAAGAACAGTGCGCAATTCATCGGAGGTTTCAACAACGTGGATCTGTAGCGCTCCATAACGTTGAGTGACTAAGGAAATATCCCGACCAGAACTCAAGTGGTTAAACACTGTAGCAGAGGCCAAGGCTTCGTGTTTCCTCCCTAATTCTGCCAAACTCGTTGCCTTGGTGAAGTAACCTAGTAGCCAAGAAGGATCTGCTTTGATAGAAGACTCTGAATCTTTTAAAGCAAGCTCCAATAACGATTTCCTCTGATACAGGTTTTTTTTCCCCTCCGCTGATTTCAAGTAGGTTGAAGCTCTAGCTGTTAGGAGTTGTGCCTCTTCTGGGCATATGGCTAATGCCTTGCTGTACAAAGACAAAGCCTCGTCTAATTGGCCATGGTTAAGACTCTCTTTAGCTTTTTCTTTGAAAACTTTGATAGAATCAGTTGAAGATAACAGTTCTATATTTTCAGTGTAAACGGTTTCATCCAGTTTCAGTGGAACACTTTTGAGGCAGATAATTTGGACTTTTCCGATGCCAACCATTACTGCGTTCGCTGGAACTTTCAGTGACTTTGGTAACTCGTATCTCCCTTCTTTGAGTAAAATCACAAGATTGTTGCCGTCTGCTCTTTTGGCAGCGTGATAAAGGTCATCGACGGTAGTTATCACATTTGTACTGTAACTTCCAAAGCGCTGCATCACTGCAGGTATATCAGTGCACCGTGATGGAAAGAGGTGTTCCGCAACTGCAGCTGCAGCAAGTGATGGCCCTCTTTGTCCAAGCTTCGCAAGACAAACAGGCTTCCAGTAGTAACCCTTAACCCAAGAAGGATCTACAGCTACTGCTTTCTCTGCGTCCCGAAGAGCGTCTTTAATAAGTCTCCTTTGGCTTTCTGTAGCTTCTGTAGCTTCGCATTTACGAGCCTTTTGTTCTGAAAGTTTAACGTACGTCTCCGCTCTGTTAGTTAACAGCTTAGCGTCATTTGGCAATCGATTTAGCAACTTTTCATAGATCTCTAGTGCCTTCGAATAATTTTTTTTCTTAAAAAAATCGTCAGCAATTTCTTTGCCCTTCCTCGCAAGCATAACATTGACATCAACTTCAGGTCTTGAATAAGATTGGTCGTTTACTGGTCTCTCAAGACACTGTATTAATTGTTCTTGAATGTTAGAGTCTTCTTCCTTAACTCCCAGGATCTTGTGCACCTCGGTAAGCTGGCAACGCGCCTGTATTTCTTCACGGTGGCTCTCTCCATATACTTTCCTCTTGATTGACACTAACATCCTAGCAATACTACGATAGAAGTTTCCCTTTTGTTTATTATGTCTTCTTTTTTTCTGCTTAACACTGGACTTTGAGATGACAAGGAAACAGTTTATCACCCCTTCTAAAACCATGGCTGCGTGGTTGTAGCTGCCCTCATTAAATACATGTTCATCGATATTCAAATGGCCGCTAGCCACACCAGATTGAATGCATTTGTACATAACAGGCCATCTGTCCTCCAAGAGACGAAGAAGTGTGTCCTCAGCGCTTTGTGGGTCGAAATAAGATTCGATGTATAAAGCGTCCGTTATTCCCCGGATATAAAAATCAGATGTAGATGGTTGCTTTTTCGCAATTAGCAACATTTCTTTGGCGTATATTCGCGCCTCACGAAGCTTTCCTTCTTGTTGTAAATGAAAAGTAATAAACTGTAAAACACGTAACAGCTCATGATGATCAGGACTGTAAATACGTCTGGCAATTTTGAGGGCTTTCTTGTAGCGCTCCAAAGCGCACTGAAAGTTGCCAGTCGACATGTAATTTTCTGCCCTTGCTATTAGAGTCAGCAGATTTACCACATTATCGTCACTCAATTGTAAGCCTTCTAGTTCCAACAAAGCTTTATAATTTTCCTCCCATTTACATTCTGATGCGTAAAAAGAAGCCTTGTGTCCATGAACTTTAAACTTGGTATCTGGATTTATAACAATCCCACACTTCTCCATTTCGCACAGCTTCTGCACCGTTTCTTGTGCCATCGTCTTCGCCTCTTGGTACTTTTCAAAACACTGACAATTTTTTAAACCAAGACTTGTGGAAACCATTAGCAGAAGAAACTCATTTGGATTAAGAATGTCACTTATTTTCGCGACTTTCAACTGAAAGTCGCAGACCTCAGCTCGCAATCGATTTAAAAAAATATTGGTAGAAATCAAGCCGATTACTAATGAGCACAGGTTATAGGTTTCAGCATTATAGAGCGAGGTCGCTTTTGCTTCTGATGAAGTAAATTCGCCTTCAATGTGATTCTTGAGCTTACGAAAATTCAACACGAGAGCAAAAAGAATATTTCGTTCATCTTCCTTAAAGAGTGACAGATCGGGCCCTATCTTAGTGCATCTTTCTAGTTTGGGACAGGACGCATATTTGGTCTGTAATGCATGGTGAAGAACTCGCGTGGCTGCAACCAAAGCCTCGACCCTTTGTGATTGCGTTAGACTGGCTCTGACAACTTCTTGAACAAGTTTGTGGACAAAGAAGACTTTGTTTTGAGGATCGACTGAGTAAAGGGAATAACTTGACAATACCTTAAGAATGGAAGCAATGTCGATCTTAGAACGCGCGCATTCTCTCAGTTCCTGTTGATCTAATTCAGGCAGACCAGGATTAACGATGTCAATGGGAACATTCTCAGAATCCAAAAAGGCCGAAATTCGCATCAGCATGGCGGCAGCTGGTGACTTTTCCTTTACAAACTCGAAATTCAACTCCCACGTTGTGTGAACTGACAATCGATGTTGAGCTTCTATGCTAAGTGCTGTAGCAGGCTGTTGCTTTAAAAGGCGCATCTTCACTGCTTGGTATTTTTCTAGGTATTCAGTAAAGCTCAGTGGGATAGGACTTGTAGTTATGTATGCTGCTGCCTGCTCCAGGGCTAGCGGCAATGCACCTAGCTCTTTTGTCAGACAAATCGCATCTGGGTCAAGGGATTCTCCTTGAAGACCGGTTCTTTTCATGAGGAACAAAGCACCATCCTCTACGCTAAAGCATGGCAACTTAAAAAAATCATCAGTTGAGTAACTCAGAAAAGCCTTTGCGTCTTTTGCGTTTTGCCTTGTTGTTATAAGTATGTGGCCGTTCTTTAGTGATTTAACAGTTCTTTGCCAAGGTCCCTTGCATATCTTCTTTACACTTGCAGGACACATAGGTTCTTGCAACTCGTCCACATTGTCCATCACAAGAAGCCATGGAAGGTCCTTCTTGGACAACCACGTAAGGAATTTGTTCAAAGTGTCATCGACGCTGTCATTTGTTGAGGTTGGAATGTTTCTCAGAGAAAGTATCTCAGTAACTGATTTATTTATATTTTCGTCGCTTTCCCCATTGATCCAGAACAAGCCACCTGGGAAGCGATTTTTGTGGCTCCACGCGAACTCTACAGCCAAAGATGTCTTGCCACAGCCTCCAAGACCGCATATTGTTTTAGTGCAACAGGAAGTCCCAGGGTTGGCCTCAACGCTCTCTGAAAGGAGGTTCTTTTCCAGCCAATCAAGAGCTGACTTGCGGCCTGTGAACAGTGGTAACCTTCTTGGAGCGGTGCACAACGCGTCATCATCTCTGTCATTCGGTTCTTTTGTGGCTTGCCCTTTTTCCAAGACTACCACTTTCTCTTGCAAAATAGACACTTCTGCAGATGTTTCCATTGCTATTTTCTGCACTTTTATCACTTTGTCTTTCAAACTTGCTAGGGAGGTTTCAGTGTTGGCAACTTTCGACTGTGTTACAGTCAGTTTTGTTTTGACAACTTCTAAGTCATCTTGGATAGCTTCGAAGACTTTTTGCAGGTCATCTCTTTTATTCAGAAATCTGTTGAAATCATCGACAGCTTTCAGAACGGTGGATAAGTCATCAGAATAATGTGCCATCACGTCTTTTAACTCATCCAGCTGCTGTGCCAACTTGCTTATCTCTTGTCTGTCTAGATCCCCTTTTTCTTTCACGTCAGATAAATCACTCTGCATAACCATCTTGATCTTTTTCATCTCTGCATCTACTTTCAAAATGTTACTCTGAACATCAGACACATCATCTTGGCATTTTGTGAGATCAGCCACAAGTGAGTGGCGAAGCAAGTGAAGAGCCTCTATTTCAGACTCCCTCACATTTACCAGACCCTTATGAAACAAATCTTGCAAGTCTTTCGACGATTGCTGGGCGTCTTTGTCAGAACTGAACACAGCGTCATTGAGCAGATTATTAAGATGACCAAATATGGTTGAAAGATCGGCATCTTGCATCTCCTGTTTCGGAGCGTGTGCCCAACGATTCCTACACTCGCCTCTTGCCGACGTCAAAACTGTTCGACTCGTAGGAGGATTAATAAAAGGACACCATTCAAGCAGGTTAAGAAGACCACCAATGTCCGTAGTTTCGGCGTCGACAACATCTTTTTTACGACCTCCAAGAGTTGGCATAAACACTTTAGCTATCTCCCACGCCCCAGTCGGAGATCCCCACTGTGTTCGGTCACTGTTGTCCCAGTAAATCTTTGGTCTCCCGGACTTGTGGTGACGTTTCAGTTCCATTTCCCAGGTGACGCACGTAGCGCACTTTGGTGCTAACGGTGCGCAAGTGCAAGATGGAAGTGACTGAAGGGGAGGACTGAAAATAAGGGACTGGTACCAAGTTTCCATTTTGCTTTGAATTTTTGATGTAATTCCTTTTTTGGTAATATTCAGGGCACAACCAACCATCACCCAGTTTTTGCGTTCTTTCTTATCAAGCTCTGTCACCCAACCGCCAGATGCCATTATGATCCTGATTTCGAGATACACTGAGAAACAGTGCGTCTTAGACCTAAATCGAAAGGCTGGAAAGACGCTTTAGGCTATGTGTCTAGTTCTTTTTACCTTGGCTATTAGAGATATGTCCTTTTTCAGGCCATTTGTGGAATTTGTAACCTGCAATATCTGCAACGGAAAGACCAAAAATCTTAAAACATGGTAAAATACATTAAACACACTAAAATTACCTAAAACATCAACAACGGGGATCATATTAGAAACTTAAAAATAAATATCTGAGACAGGCTTATTGAGGGGCAAACGCACGGACATGAGGTACCAACGATGTTGACCTCAAAGAAG